CCGCGGCCCCCCCCCCCTCAGCTGGACCCCTGTCTGTACGAACAGACCTCCGACGGACCGGAGTTCCTGCACTGCGCCGTGTTCGGAGACCCCCACGTCCGTACCTTCAGCGACGACTTCCAGACCTGCCAGGTGCAGGGGGCCTATCACCAAGGTGAGGCTCTTCTGAGGCCTGATGTCATCAAACTGTTAGATTCAGTTTTAAGACCCTTACAGAGTAATACAAAGTGAAGTCTGACGTCCCTGTCTCTGCTGTCCTCAGATTAGCATCATCTTTAAGAGCTGGCGTCAGTGTGTGGACCAGCAGCTGTACCAGGCCGAGCTCGATAACGTTCCCGCCGCCTTCGCCGACGGCTCTGTGTGGAGCGGCGAGCGGGGGGGGGGTCTGCGGGGTGGGGGGCGCCCCAGCCTCACGGTGAGTTCCCGGCTCCCCGGGCGGCACGCTGAGATCCGGGCGGAGCACATCGACTCCCTGCTGGTGGTGCGGCAGAGCGGCCGCTCGCTGGGCGTGTCGCTGCGCTCGCCGCGTGGCGTGGCCTTCGCCTTCGGGCCGGATCAGGACCTCCAGCTGTGCGTAGGGGGGTGCCCTTCCTCCCAGAGGCTCGCCGCGCCGCGCCCCCCCCACCCTGTGCCGCCCGCCGCTGCCCAAGCACACTGCAGCGAGCTGCTTCCTGTCAGAGACATTTACTTCCACGCCTGCGTGTTTGACCTGCTCTCCGGCAGAGACTTGAACTCCAGCGCGGCGGCGGCAGTCGGCGCGCTGCTGGACGCCGCCGCCATGATGCCCGACCCTGGGAGGCTGCACCTGCTGAGGAGCGCCGCCACGCACACACCCCCCCCCACTCTGATGCTGCTGCTGCTGCTCGGCATGCTAGGAACTCTGAGCACAACGCTGGGTCACATGTGAGGAAGAGGAGGAGTCACATAGGAGGAAACACACTGTGAAAGCTTCAGACATTGACCTTTGATCCACAGAGACATGTGACCTCCTCTCACCTGTTGAACACTGTGACTAACAGACTCACCTGAACCCCGCCTCTTCAGCACTGACTGTTTCCTGCTGAGTTGAATATGCTAATGGAGCGATGTGATTCAGGACAGACAAAGATGGATCTGTTTCATATGAAAGTGTCTCTCCCTCTGACCCTTCAGATTAGTGAGAGATCAACTGTAAACTGTCCTTCAGGCGATTCATCACAGTTTTATAAACATATAAATATAATCAATGTAAGGAGGGGCTGCCCTAGCAAGTTGTTGTTGTTACCAGTTTGTGACCGGGCAGCTCTCGGTCAGAGATAGTTATTGTTGTGGGACACCTGGAACACATCCTTCTCTGGGCGTAGATAACCCCGAGCCATTTGAGACAACTAATGTGATTCAGTGTCCTCAGCTGTTTACTCTATCTATTGAAGAATGTTGATTACTACACTCTGAACTAGTTCAAACCTGGAGCTACAGGAGGGCTCTGCAGAATTGATGGTGGCATCTCAACCGTGTGGTCAGACCGTGGTCCGTGACATGTCTTGTGAATTCTCCGGCCGAAGCTCCAAATAAACCGTCAGTGTTTGCCATCAAAGCTCCATCTCTCCATCGTGTCTCTCTGACCCCTAGTTTCCACCGGGTCCGTCTGCGCCGCGTTACGGCTGCACCGCGGTTTTGGTCCGACCTCCTCTAGGGTCATAACCCACCGGGCGCGTTTCAGAAGCATTTCAGAAGCGGAGCGTCTTGCCTGCCGGCTCACAGTCTTTGTTGATTTGGGCATATTTCATGGACAGGCTACTTTGTACAGACCAACTTAATAATAATAATATTCCAGTTATAAACGACATGAATCAAAGATGTGTTGCTGTATTTCAGTGGTAAAAAAATGCATTCATCATCAGAATTATTCTATATATATAATTTACACAGTGCCTGTAAACCGGAGGAGAACGCTGGCATTGCTCCTCCTACTTGAAAGACTACGGAGGGATAGGGTCTGCAAAATTAGTTTATTTTGGGGATTGACTGGATGCTCTGACCGGTCCACTCCCTGCCCGTCGCTATGCAACGCCTCGCGTCGAAAATAGACTTGCATCCTATTTTTTGCCGAGACGCTTCTGGGACGCTTCTAGCCGTGAACCGCTGTGAACGCCGCGGCGCAGACGGACCCGGTGGAATCTAGGGGTTAGTGCTCAGAGTATCGTCAAGGAAGAAATGACCAGACTTCTCACTCGATTACTTATCTCCGTTATCATTCCTCTGACGATGTTATAATCGTAATTACTAGTTTCCAGCCTTCTTAATTTCAGGATGATCTAACTGTTTGAAAGTATGGTCTCATTTAGAGCAATATAGACAATATTGTATTGGGTCGATGAGAAAAGGATCCCATAGGTTTTCTGGGCGGGGCTTCTTTGTGATCGCCAAATAGCTACCACAGTTTTACCTTAATTGTCTATCTATGTATTTTTTAGATGTATTATTCGAGCCTCAGCTTTACATTTGGAGTCTTACTTGGTTGGTCTTTGTGCTAAATGTCTTGTATAGAGGTCTATAATTAAACGACCCGCCGATCACGTGATTTTCAAAAGATCGGAATCGGGAGATAAAAAAATCGGGATTTATTTTTAATTAATTTTTTTAAATATTTTTTATTTTATTTTGTATTCAATGTTACAAAACAAAAATGACCATGTTCAAGTCTTAAAGTCATCCTGAGGCCTTAGTTTTGGTTTCAAATTACACAACATCATGTATGTGTTGCTTCTTTGGGGCTTGTTTCCATAGACCTGGTTGCTTATTTCTCTCAAATCTGGCAACAGAGTAGGCAGGGCGCAGTGTCTAATGTAGCAGTAAGCTAACGAGTACTGATAAGCTTTATTTTGTTTTGATCCAATGCTGCTGTGAAAAAAAGAAGCGATATCCATGTTCGATAGAATATCCAATTTAAATAAAAAAATAACCTTAAGGGACAACTTGAATGCTTTTTTTCTTTTTTTTCTCTTAATGCGTTGCATAAAGATCGGATCGGGAAAAATCGGTATCGGCAAATTGTCAAAATTAAATGAATCGGATCGGGAGCAAAAAAAGGTGATCGGGACATCCCTACTGACGATACAATGGATTGGATCTTTCTATTTACTCGAGCCTGAGCTTTACATTTGGAGCTTTGCTTGGTTGGAGGTGTTAAGGCTGAGACTAAAGGTCAACCTAGCTAAGTCGAACCACCCCTCCAATACATATTTCACAAAACTTGGGCAGCATGCTTGAGGGCAACACTTTGTACAGAATGCACTTTCATAAAATCTTGCTCTCTCCATATCTAGACAAATAAGAAATGTGTAATCACTCACTTCTCTTTTGCACACAGTATCTGATCACATGCAATGACATTCCTTCAGTACTTCTCTGCTCGGAGGCACACAGGCATATTTTATTTGAAACGAAGTAGGCTGCCTTAGATGTGTGATTGTCTCATCGTTCACATTTACTCTGTTGAATTGAGGATCAGTCATGCTTATATTCCATACTATGATGTAAGCCCTTGCAAATAGCTTCATTAAGATGGATGTTAAAGCCAGCAAATGTAATAGGTAGGCGCATCATAAATGTGACTCAGAAATCCCTGTTTGAAATTGGCTTTAAAACCGGGATTTCACACATCTTGTACAGGCTTTTCGTGTCATGTTTGCATAGCTACAGTGTAGTTATGACAATCTTAGGTCACATGAGGTTTAGCTGTTTTCTGAAAATGCCTCATAACTAGTAAGGATGTCCTTGAAAACCTGTTGAAGAGATTCAGAGAATGAACTTTTTCTTTCCTCTGAGAGAGTGTTATTACCAGAATGATAAGCTCCAGAGGGCTCATGAATAAGTGCCTCTTACCCATCAACAACCTCTGACCAAGGACACATAAACTGCACTCTGTGTTGTTCATCAGCGCCCTAAAGCTTCTGCACTGAAAGCTTGTTTTGCTACCATTCCTCCCAATTGTTGTCTTGATTATAGCTCAACGAGAAGAGCACTTTCAAAGATCCATCATTACGAAAAGAACCCAATTGAGAACTCATGTTCAAGTGTTTTGATTCCACTCTGCAATCAATCCCATCCTCAGTTATTTGTTATTGTGACACCCGTGGTATTCGGGGGATTCATTGTGCTACCGACGCTATGAATGTGTTAAATTCAAATTGCTGCCAATTTCGTCTATTGCAGGTGACTTTAGTTGCACCGTTTCTGTTTGTTAGTCATCCATTGTCTGAAATGTAGCTTGGCTTCTTGTATGGATGCGCTCTTAAATATTATTTATATTTCCTCCTGCTGTTTTAAGGAACAGAGGGAAATGTGTGTGTTTATCAGATCTGTTTAAAGCACACAGTGTGAAGAAATGAATTCAACTCTGACGTGTTTAGCAGTGAATTATTCCTATTTTGTTTTTTACAAAGTCTGATATTAAAGAAGGAGAGGAGCATGCAGACAGACAAGCTGGAATTATACTCAACAGGGGTCCTGTCATATCCTTACATTTAGATTTATAGTTCTCTGGAAACTTGTATCGTACGTTATCGGGCTGTGTTGTGCTGTATTATTATTCCCCAAAGTAATTGTGCGTACATTCTGTTTACTTTCTAATTCAGATCGATGTTGGGAATGGTTGCCTTGTATTACTGCTGACTGGGAAACTGCGGTCATGCAATCTTAATTTTCAGATTCAGATGTATTTACTCAAGAGTGCACACCGTGCTATGAAGGGCAAACATAGCAACAAAGGAAGTAGTAGAAAGGTAAACAACCAAATAGGACTCAAGCACAAAGTAACTATGTTATCCATTCACTCTGACAGAAGCTAATGGGTTGAAGTTAACAAAAGCTTTATAGACATGTGTTACTGAGAAATGGAGGCCTTTACTCAACCGGCTTAATGTTGTATTTCCCATCAATAATCTCCAAGAGCATTTGAAACATATTGTAGAAAACCCCCAAGCAGCCAATCACAATCTCCATGTGAAGTTACAGTCCCACACAGGGTATCTGTAGGAGCCATTTTATGGGTTTTGTCGGCATGTCAGTTTATTTTATTTGTATTATATAGTGTAATATTGTTTTGAACACTTGGTGGCGGGGGTTAGCTGCTATCACCGGGTGTATAAAATGGAAGAAGAAAAGCAAACCGATCTGTTTTCTGTTCGTCTTATTGATAGGCTGACACTCAGGGCCGTCCCTGGCCAACATGAGGCCCCACGGGCGCGGCGAAACCGTGCCGCGCCACACTAATTGCGCCGCATAAGTGCATAGGTGCGCCGCATTTTCGGCTCAGATGAGACCCCCTCCGCAAGGTGAGGCCCCCTCTTCGAGATGAGGCCCCCTCCGCAAGGTGAGGCCCCCTCCGCGAGATGAGGCCCCCTCCGCGAGATGAGGCCCTCTCCGCGAGGTGAGGCCCTCTCCGCGAGGTGATGCCCCCTCCGCGAGGTGAGGCCCCCTCCGCGAGGTGAGGCCCCCTCCGCGAGATGAGGCCCTCTCCGCGAGGTGAGGCCCCCTCCGCGAGATGAGGCCCCCTCCGCGAGGTGAGGCCCCACGCAGTCTGCATGATCGGCCTGTAGGGAGGGACGGCCCTGCTGACACTTTATTTGGACATCTAATCGGAGGGAAAGTACACACAAAAAACATTTCGAGAGAGATAAAAAGTACATTCGGGGCTTAAAGTCGATCTAGTAAACTTGAAAGTGCAGCTTTAATCAGCCCTGCAGATGCTCACAGATACTACAATCATTCACTGAATCATTAAACCTTGGTAATGTAAACTCTAATAAACATCAGACTAAACTGCATTCAAGACCGGAAAGCATCTGCGTCTGGATCACTCAATCTCCTGTGAAGTAATGGCAGGAAGACCTGGCAGCTTCAATAGAGCGGCATGTTTAGGAG